ACCGCTTTGTAATTCATGATTAAGGTTCATCTTAATCATAAATCTAGAGCAGCCAACTTGCAAATCATGCTTCTAGAGTATCCAACTGGCAAATGCCTTCTCAACGTGCTAACTGTGGGAACATTTGGTTTGAGAAGTTGAGTCTAGGTGGAATTTGCCCAATTTCAGACTAGGACATAGGTTACAAGGTCACTGACCTCTGTCCCAGCCTGTCTGGATCTCAGAAGCTTTTGAGGAAACAAATGGTCAGGCTTTGGACAGACACCATTTGGAGGCCTCAGCCTTTTTTGGGTTAAAAACTCTACTTGGATCTGCATGGAATTTCTTACCTCACCGGCATAATAAAACTGGGAGGTTCTCGCATTTATTAAAGAGGAAGTCAGGTTCACACCTCATACCTGGGTAGCTTGGATGTTCACATCTCCTTCTTTTAAGAGCTTCCAGACGACAGCCATGTCTTCATCAGTCTCTGCAGAAGCCAAGGGAGTGATCATCACGGCGGTATATCCAGCTTTGTTCTGATGGTTCACATTGCAGACGCCTGCAAGAAGAGCAATAAACCCTGGAATAACTCTCAAGGGGCCAGAAGCAAGACTGCTTTAGCCTGGTCAACAGGATGCTGCCTGCTGGTTAAAATGGAATAGAGCAATCCTTTCCCAGGAGGTGGAATCAATGTTTTACATTTTTAGCAGCTTTTAAAACTGGTTACTGTTCTTTATAGGTTTTCTGAGGATACCCAGCAAGAAGGTCCACAGCAGAGTTGGAGATGGCCAAGGGGGCCAATGACCATGACTTTTCTCATAAAGCAGAGAACAAGACATTATTCTAATTTTACAGATGAGAACACTGAAGGTCAGTGAAACTGCATAAACTGCCCAAGTGAACGTGAGTGGGACCAGGACTCAGGTCTGTCTGGCTCTAGAGCCCATCACTTACCCAGCCACACATTGCTCACAGCTGTGCATTTTAGGTTTCACTCTTTCTATGTCTGTGTGAAACTCTTAAGCTGATGGCCGCGTTTGTAGGTTTTTTTCAAGGGCTTGGTGATATGCTATGCAATATACAAGGGGGCATGAAAAACACCACAGGATAAGCATAGGAAATCTTCTAGGAAAACTATCTCACTTGAAACACAGAGAGGGAAAAACTCCATACTGTATTATGTTAAAACAATTAAGACTATACATTTAGCAACAGAATGAGAAAACTGGCATATTTTAAAGATGAAGTATTAAATTTGAATTCAAAAGAAATTTCTGTTTTGAAGTCCTGGAAATAGGCATTCATATCCCTCTCCACCAAAGGAGACAGTAGGAGATCATCGACCTGTTATCTGTTGTATAAATGACCCCACCTTTAGGGGGAAACCAAATCTTTCCTGTACTGTTCCTTACCCAAAAAGCCTCTGGTTCTCTTTTGGACAATAATAAAACTATTTCAGGACATCAAATCTCCTGATTTGTATTTCCTCTGTAAAATGGGGATAATAACAGAACCCGCCTCATAGGGTTATTGTGAAATTTAATGAGTTTGTGTATTAGAAGTACTTAGAACAGCACTTAGCACATAATAAACACTCAATAAGTGCTGTTATTATTTTTTTTAATCCAGAATGGTTTTCACTATTCATACTCTTGCTATTTGCTCATGAATATTTAGGTATTTATTGTAACATATCTGGTTTAGAAGAAAAATGTCGGTTCTACCTACACATTCTGTGCAAGGAAAAAAAAGCCCAACATTTGTTTGACATCCCCTCCACCCCGCCCCAAACACTTTTTCAGAAATATGACATAGTGAAACGAAGATGCCAGTGGATATGGAAAAATCAGCAGTTTCTTTCCTGAAGCCTCTCTGACCACTGCCATAACCAGCTGGGCTGTGAAAGCTGAAAACGAATTCCATGTGTGGTCTTATAACTCTATCTTGATAAAGATGGGAATATTTGCATTGCCTTATTAATCACTTTTTAATTTTTACTCCATGACTATTTTATGAAGTGTAAACAAGTACAGTTTCCGTTCCTCTCTTCGGAAACTTGACTTGTAGCTCAAGTAGAGTGAGGACTGACTCCTCCCCAGGTGCTTGAAAAGGAGCTGAAAGCTCTCCCCAGGGCTGTCACAGCAGACACTTCAGAGCAGCCGGCCACCAGGGAGCAAACCAACTCTCCCTGGAGGGGAGGGGAAAGGCTCTTGACTCAGCACACTTAGATTCAACAAGCTTTCTCCTCTGCAGTGGCAGCCAGCAAAATAAAAGATGGATCACAAAGAACTAAGCTGGTGGAGATGCACCCGTTGGCTCTATTCTCAATAATGACGAGTCACTACTGTACAATGCTTTGTAGACTGTAATGTGCTTTCTGGATGCTTCATAACTGCTTAAGAAGGGACCCCAGGTTTGAGACTGTGACGGATCTGTCATCCTCAACATCCCTTCTACATTGAGGAAAAGTAATGGCACCTTCCGCCCTTTCCCCCTTCACACTTTATGCTTTGGCTATTTAGCTATTTCAGTGTGTTAAAGGGAAAAGCTTCCAAACTACTTTAGGGCTGATGGGTATTGATTAGATTCTCAGTCAACATCAGCAGAAATTTATAACCAAGTCTTAGGTTGTCCATTCCCCAACCTGGCCGGACCCACCTGGAGAACTATTAACAGCTTTCACGTCTGTGAGCTACTTAAAGACAAGGGCTCTATGCCACAGATCTTGGGATTCTTCGTGCACATCGTAGGTATTCCGAAAGTCTCACAGTGCCCCTAAACCTAGTTTGGGGTATTACAAAAAGCCCAGATCATAGTTGGAATTCCGGCTTAGCTATTTACTGGCTCTGTGAATTTTACCACATTACCTGACTTCTCTGAGCCTCAGTTTTCTCACTTGAAAAATGCAATTAATATCTGCTTCAAAATTCCTGCAAGGATTATGTATGATAGTGTTTGTGTTTATCATACCTAGCACTGTGTCTGGAATAAGGAAGACACTTAAAGAGCAGTAGGTATCATTGTTATTTATGTTCTATAATGAAAGTCCCTAACACTGAGCACAGTGAACACAGAGGCATCTCCCTTTAATGACGTGTCTTTATCAGTTGAGCTACCACTTTTAGGCTACCTATAAATCCACGAAAAACTGAAATCCAGTGAAATTGGTTCATTGTTAAAATTGTAAATTCATCTTCCTCAGATGAATGTAGGGAGGAGGCAAGAGAATTAAAAAATGTTAACCAAGCCACAATCAGAAACTGCAATACGCTGATCAGCCCTGCAGCCAGGCCAGGGGGACACCTGCAGAACAAAGGAAGATTTCTGCTGGGATTGCTCACAGCCCCTTCCCCACACCTGTGAAGGGGAAACAGGAATCAAGAGTCATTCCCTATGGCTAAAACCATGGGGAACCTATGGATTAAAGGCTGGGAACTGCCAGCAGGACATTCACTCTACATATTTTTACCTTTTCATGCTGCTTACTAGTCCCCTTCTTCACTGTATGTCCATATCAAAGGAAATAGGAAGTAAAAAATGACATACAAACTGAATTCCCTGTACACTCAGGGTCCCTTTCAGTGCCTTTACTCTGTCTCTATCACTGTCATCGTCTCTATTGTCTCTGTCCCTCTAAGTCCTTCTCAGTGTCTCTCACTGTCTGCCTCTGAGAGACCACACTCTGTCTGTGGAGTGTTACCCCTTTTCTAACAAACTTTCCTTTTGACACTAACTTTGGCGTGTGTGTTGAATTCTTTCCACACTCTCCACCGAAAGACCCTCTTCTCTCAGCATAGGGCTTGGCCTCCCCACCACTCAGGGAAATTTGCCCTGTCTTGCATCATGATGATATGGGAAGCAGAAAGAACTTTAGGCTGACATTATGCATGTCACTTACCAATTCAGGTGAGGAGCCTAAAGGCTGTTTAATGGAATTTTTGAGAATTGGAATTTTATTGAAATATAACCTAGCTCCCAGAAGTCATCTGTCTACTCACGAAACATATATATTCACTTGACACCTACTAAGAGCCAGGAACTGGTCTAGGTCCTGGGGATACTGAAAAGAAGGAGACAGGCAACAACACCCTTCGATTGAGTTAATTGAGTTCTGTTGGGTAGAAATGACAAGCAAAGATCATATAAAGAAAGAAACAGGGTGTTCACCTAGAGAGAGAGAGATAGGGTAGCCACACACTGAAGAGGAATCTCCTTCTTAATTGGCCAACATTTTTAATCAGCTCTTTTCTGCTTCTGTAAACATGCTTGTTGCAAAGCCAGAGATCTCAAAGTCAACTGAGAACTCATCCTCCCCTAAAGATGCATTGCTTTGGTGTTTGTTAGAAAAGATGTATTACTTTAGTGCTTGTTAGATAGAAAATCCTGTGATCTGTAACTGCCTGTAGCCTGTAGCAACTTCAGGGGTCTGTAAATCAGCCCATGCCAACTGTAACAATGCGAGTATAAAAATAAAATTGCCCCTAAGTTCGGGGCCCAGATTTTCAGAGCACTAGCTCTTCTGAGAAGCGTAATAAAATTGAGTTACTCCAAACCTCTGAGTACTGTTTGATTTCTCGCTGGTCTGAGTGTTTGCAACTTTTCTACAACACCACCAGCAACACACTTGGTCTTTGAGTGATCTAAGGCAAGTCTGTTGACTTCTCTCAGTGTCATGCTTCTCACCTATAAAACAGACATCCAGGGTCACAGGATCATTATGAGAATTAAATGAGATCTATCCACATGTTTAGCAGAGGGTCTACCTAATCTGGAAAGATCATTTGGGGCCTTATACCTCTCATAGGTACCCTCTTAGATATCCCTCATACAGCCTTCCTAAACCCATAGATGACATTCAACTGGAAACAACACATCTTCAGTCAACCCTATCACCCACCTGTCTATACCGTCATACCTAGACCACTTGATGTTGTCGTATACTCTGCTGAAAGGCTCTACTGTAAGCCCTATGGTGTCATCTCAGCAGACTCTGGAGCCACTCAGAAGTCCTTGAAGAGTCCCTTTGATTAACTATTAACTACCTCTTTGCAGTTGCCAAAACCCAGATCCTGTTCTTACTTTCCTGAGAAGATCAAGGCCATCTAAAGTGAGTGGTCTCCTCTTCCTTTCTCTCCTCTTCCTCATCTCCCTGGACCTTTAACTTCCTTTTACTTCTCTCTCAGAGGAATAAATATCTCAGCATCTTGCCTCAGGTGACCTCATCTGCCTTTGCTGTGGATTCTAGGCTTTTCCAACTCTTCCAAGATCTTGCTCCATCAAGCATCCTCTGTCCTTTCTGTCTTTAATATCTTAGTCTATGTCTCTCAGATTCTTCTTCAGTGCCAGTAAACATGTTCACAAACACACAAAAACAATTCTCTGTAGTCTCTCTTGCCTCTGTTAGCTACTATGCTATATCACTGTCTTCCCTACTCTGTGCACTTCACGTATTTTAACTCTGCAAGCTGGTTTACTCCCAACAACCCCTCCCCCCAAAACAGTTGTTTCCAAAGTCACCAGTGACCCCTCCCCAAATATGTCCAACCTATGCATCATCCTTCAGGGACACTATGGTATTTGACTCAGTGGTCAATCTCCTTTCTTCTTGACATTTTCTTCTTCATTGGCCTCCCTGTTGTCCACTATCCTGATATTTCTCTTACTTCTCACAGAGCTCCATCTGGATCTCCTCTACTGGCTCTTTCTCTCAATTCAGACTTTCCATAGGGCTTCTCTCCTTCCCTAAAGGAATCCACTGGCTATGCTCTAGCCGGCTTCACCCAAAACTCTATTGCCTGTTAATTTCAGATCCAGAATTCTCAACAGCCTTCTGTACATTTCTACCTGGATGACCCACTGGAAATTTGAAATCTGTTACAAACTGAATTATCTGTTTTGCTTTCCCCACACTTGCTCTTCTCCTCCTTTGCAGCATCACCATTTTCTCAGCCATCCAAGCTTATCACATCAGAGTTCTCACTCCCCTTGTCCCTCACAGCCAGTCAGTCACTAATGCCCCGCTGGATTTTTCCTCTTCTATTCCTACTGTCCTCACCTATTGCAAGCCCTCATTATTTCTCTGTGGACCCCTGGAATGGCTTCTTGTCTGGCCTGCTACCTCCTACCCCTACTGCCAAATTAGCCTTCATGGAACCTTCATAGAGAACTCCCCTGGCTATGGTGCTCCCCTACCCAAGACCCTATATAGACTTCCCAGTGCCTGGATTCACACTATTCAACCTGGCATTCAAGGTCCTCCATGCATGCTGTGGCTCCAACTTACCTCCCTGAACTTAATTACTATTCAACCTGGCATTCAAGGTCCTCCATGCTGTGGCTCCAACTTACCTCCCTGAACTTAATTCGCATCCCATTCAAACTGGAAGTTTTCTGGTCTCCAGATTTTCCTTTCTCGAATTCTACAGTGTTCTTTTTATTGGGGACATTTCTCTGCCTTCTGGGACTCTTTCTGCTTCAGTGTGCCTTTCCTGCTCCCTGAATAGGATATTATTTCACTCCTTCTGAGACCCAAAATAATGTTCTCTATCTCTCTCCTATAAACCATCACCCTGCTCCACCCTGGTTATCAGGCTCTAAGCTTCTGAGACACAGAGGGCTCACACCTGGCTCATCTTTCCAACTCGGTAGTAGCCAGTGTGGCCCTCATACATAGTCTACACATATCTGATGAAGCATGAATCAATCAAATTGAGTCAAATTAGTCAAATGGACCCATAAACTTTGTTAAAAAGTACTTACGTAAATGGTAGAACGTGACCTTTCCTAGATGCGTGTGGTGTAGCTCTGGAGTTAGACTACCAATTACCTGCACTGTGACCTGAGCAAGTTTTCTAACTCTCTGAGCCTCAGTTTCCTTATCTGCAACATGAGAATCACACCCACATCACAAGAGCATGGTGAAGAACAAATGATATAATAAAGGCAAATCGTCTAGTCTAGTTCCTAGAATACAGACGGAACTCAGAAGAATGAAGAATCTTCTTGCTGTAAAGAAGTGAGTACGAGAATTGCCCTTCCAGGAAGGACAAGGGCTGCACGAATGCAACCATTTCTGACCTGTCTCCAGCAGCAGTTTCACGATGGAGAAGTTGGAGTGGGACACACTATAGTGAAGAGCTGTGTTCCCGTTCCCATCAGCCAAGTTGACAAGCAGCCTTAGGAAGTGTGGGGAGTGAGGCTGGAGATAGGCAGCCACCACAGCAGGACTAGATGACTTCCGGCTGGAGACACGGAACCACTCTTGACTGATGGTGTTCAAGCTTTGCCTCTGAAATACCAAGAGAATCCAATGCCAGAAGGTTATCTGGCCTGGGGTGCTAGTTTTCAGCGAGAGTGTCAGTTTCCACTAGGAAAAGTTACCTTTGGAAGAGTCCATCTCTATCTCTTCAGCTCCTTCCAACTCGCCATGTGATTTACTCCTGGAGGTCTCAGAGCTAGTAGGGTCCAGGATATAGCAACATTGCCACTGTGCAGTTGCCACTCCCCTCCCCCCATGTGAGGTAGAAAGGAGGACTGGGAGGGCAACCCAGTAGCCAGTAACAAAGCACTTCACTAGGTGACAGTTGGAGTCTAATGTAAGTTTAGGTCACATCCCTTGTGTGCACAGGACAACCAAGACCCTCTCTTTCATGCTCATACAGCCAGCCTATACTGACCTTAGCCCAAATTCTACCAGGACTTGTATGTGTTTTTAATAGACATAGTTGGAAAGTCACAACATTTTATTAATAGGAAAAATGCATGCTGAAAACTAAGACAAATGACATGTCCAATTTATGCTTGAAACAAAACCCAAACAGCTGTGCTTGAATTAGTTTTGGCTTTTAAGCTTTGTTAGGATCTTCAGGGAAAATGGCTGAACAACCCACGGCAGGACCTCACTATCTGCAGTATTCAGCTCCTTGGAACAATGAATGAGGAGCGTTCCAAAGTGAATGACATCAACTCTGTGTGTGACATTACCTAAGTGTTCAAAATGGAACATATTTAGA